AAGACCGTCATAGAGTCCCCCGATCGACATAACAGCGAGCTGAAAGTGGATGGAGCAGATCGAGTCGACTTCGAACAATGTCTGTTATCATAAGACAGCTGGGCGCGGGAATTGGAGGAAGGCGAGTATGAAGTCGAAGAAATTTTAGAGAGCCGCACAGGTAAAAAAAACTCGGTATGGAAGGCAACAACGAGAATTTTTCGTGCAATGGAAGGGAAACCCTGACCCCTCGTGAATGGATGAAGTGGATCTGAATTGCGGAGCTTTACTCCGAGACTTCGAGCGCAGGAGACAAGCCATAATCGCTTTGAAGTTATGCAAAGCCATGAAAACTATGGACTGTAGCAAGTTCATTGGAAGGTAGACCTGATCCCTCATTGGTAGACCTGGTCCCTCATTGGTCGAACCGTTCCCTCGTTGGTAGACCTCGGTCTCCTACGGGGAGACTTCGACCTTTCACGAGTCCAGTGTATGGAAGAATGGAGAACAAAGGAGGAAGACTGACAAAAACACCTGGAAACAGAGAAATGTATTGCATAGGAGATGGAAGATGTACAGACGCTCAATAAATAGGGTCGAAAAAAACGAATGTTCGTTTTTATAGGGAGACCTAAGAGTGCGGACCAAACTTACCCTTGAGGCGCGGGACTAAAGTTCCAGGATGGGGCACGGAAGACAAGCGATATTGGGTAAGCCACGGTCAAGCGGAATCCGACACCCGAAGGGCCTCGAGCAGGTCGACTAGGTCCGACCCTCCTCACGACCAGGGTACCAATAAACCACACGGCGGGTTCGAGGAAGATGACGGAAGAAAGGGTCCAGGAAAATGTCGAGATCGCAGCGGCCCTTGCTCATCTCAACGACGATAAAGTCGACCACCTCCCGCCACGATCGAGTCGCCTGACCTTGACGCTTCTTCCGCGCATTGTAATATAACGCGAGGAAAGAGTTCGTTCGCGCTTGGTCCTTGGAGATCCACAGGCAGTGGGTCGCCTCCCAAAGTGCTTGGCTATGCTCTTGTCAAACTATGTGTAAACCGCCGCCAACTGGGCGAACCAGCCAACAGGTCGGAGGAAACGGGTTGCATGGGAACATGAGCTTCTACCCAAGGTTCCGCCGCCAGCAATCTATGGATCATCGGAGGGTTCACCAACGACTTCTTCCATTTGGGAGGGCGGTCGAGGTTTTCGTCCGGAGGACCGAAGCAACCCCAAGGTAGATCCAGCTGGTCGACCAAGTCTTTTGGAGACATTGTTACAATGCACCAAGAATTGACCAGGTCGACCGGCCAAGGCGCCCCTTCCGCGGCAGAGAATGTCTTCGACTGCATGTACCCTGGGATCATGGCATCCTTGGGGAGCAAGAAAGAGTTGGTCGAAAGGGGCGAATTGTTGTCCGCAACAATGGGCGCGCTCTTTTCTTTCTCCGCAGACGACTCAGTATCCGAGTCCGATGTCCCGAACATCGCCCGTTTCAGCGAGACGCCGGAAGCCGAGGTGGTTCTCAATGGGGGAACGGACGTCGGCGGAAGACGTAAAGAACTTGCACTGGTGGGGCGCCGACCAGAAGAACGAGACTTGGCCAGGGACGCCCGAAGCGTCTCGCTGTCGTCGCTGAGGTCGTCGTCCGAAGACTCCAGCATGACAGGAGAGCAGCCACCAGAGACTCTCGACAGAGGTATCGCGGATGTGCCGGGCCTCGGAGACTTGGATACCTTGGCAGGCACAAATGGTGACGGCCGCCTGGACCTTTTATAAAGATCTTTTACCGGCCTCGAAGGGGAACATACGGCCGGGGGCGAAGCTGCCGAAGGAGGCGCTGGTCCCGGAGGTGGCCCATCGGAGAAGTCGACGTGATCAAGCTCTGCAGCGAGAAGCGAGTAACGGCTTCGAATGTGGTCGATCTTCCATCGCAGGCGATCCACCAGTGTCGTCTCGCGCTGAAGAGCTTCGCGGAGTTGGACCACCAGCCGGGAATTGTCGCGTAACCTCTCTTCCAAACGCTCACAACGAGTGGCCAATAAGGTGGCCGAAGTGGGAACAACATCTAGCCGACCCTCGCAATCCTCTATGCGGCGGGATTGTGCGTCCACGAAAGCTTGAAGTTCCTGCAGAGCTACACGCACGTCGACTGGCGCGGAAGACGGATTGTCAACCATGGAGACCGGCGTGGCAGAAAGATCTGCCGTCTTGGCAGGAGGCAAAGCGGTGAAGACAGGAGAGCTATCAACGACGACAGTTTCGGCAGAACTCAAGGGTGAATAGACTGTCCCGGAAGGTCGGCCAAGGACGCCTTTTCGAATGGAGGGTCAACCAAAGGCGCGGAAACGATTGAGGTCGGCTCTTCAGACGGTGGGTCAGAACCAGGGGCAACCGAAGGCGCGGGGACGATCGAGGTCGGCTCTTCAGACGGTAGGTCAGCGGACGGTGGGTCAGCAGACGGTGGGTCAGAACCAGGGGAAGACATGGCTGGAACGACACGAGTTAGTGATGGACGCTTAACAAGGGGACAGTAAAGGACCTACGTGACGAAGAAAGTGAAGACATGCGCGTGCTCAATCCGTTGTACTGCTGAGCAGGTGCAGGGGGCGGCTGTGGTGAAGTGCTGATTTTGCGATATGGGGATCCCAGAATCCCTTTGGATTCGGAGTATAGGCCGTGGGTCAGGGACAGGGGACCAGAGAGACAGGGGCCTCGAAGGGGAGCGACCATTGGTGGAGGACAATCCCCAGAGACCGCCGAAGAAAAATCAGTATCAAGGTACCGGTAAACCGGTGCCGAAGGGAGTTGATCATGGCCGCTCATTGATCGACCTGGCCCCTCGTTGGTAGACCCGGGTCCCTCATAGGTCGACCTGGGTCCCTCATCGGTAGACCCGGTCCCTCATTGGTCGACCCGGTCCCTCATTGGTAGACCCGGTCCCTCATTGGTAGACCTGGGTCCCCTGTCTGTTGACCTCGGCCCCTTGTCTATTGACCTGGGTCCCTCGTCGGTAGACTCAGTCCCTCATTGGTCGACCCGGTCCCTCATTGGTCGACCTCGGCCCCTCGCTGGTAGACCTGGATCCCTCATTGGCCGACCTGGATCCCTCGTCGGTCGACCTCGGCCCCTCGGGGTTCAGCCACTCCTGACCAGTTAACACAAGGATCAGACCAGTCGACGCAAGGAATCAGATCTTCAGGCAAGGATAGAGTAAAGGAGTTAAAAGGATAGGACTATATTAAATACTACTCAATTTGCAATCTACGTGGCACGACTCCGTCACCCAAGAAGAACTTGCTCTAAGCTACTCACTGTTCCGGGAAGGGATATATTTTAGCCCCCCGTCGAAGACAGTTGTGTAGCGAAGTTCAAGTGCGAATAGAGCTCCAGGATATATTTGGACTGTGAGCTCGTTCGAGTAGCAACACTCCCCAAGACCCGCTATCGGAAGCGGTCTCCCTCACCTCAAGGTCCGGGAGCAACGTAAAGGTCAGGTGGGTAATACCCCTGAAACAAGAAGGAAAGTCCAGGGACGACAAGCTCCCTGAAGACTTTGGATTTAAGTCCACTCTCGACAAGGTCGATCGAGTGGCCACCTACCGGCCCACCGAGTGAAGCTTATCCACTCGAGGCCCCCCAGGTCTACCTCCTTCAAGGCAGACGTCTACATCTTCACCAAGTCCTCCGAAGAGTGCAACCCGCCAGCCGACGGGTACACAAGGTGAGAGAAGGTCCATACGCGGCATCGGAGTACCCCCTCCGACAGTCGTCAGTCCGGCACAGTGAGTGGTTTGGGGTCTCATCATACAATTTTAAGAACCCACTCCACCACAAAACCACGACGACCTCCCGAGCGACTCCGAGACCGAGACCTATTAAGAGGCTCGGGAGCGTACAGATTATACGGTTGACGACCTCGGCTACGTGAACGCCCAAGGCGATCTTAAGGATGCGCTTTCACTAGCCGTAGCTCGGACACCCGGAGCTCCGAAGGCTTCTCGCACAACGGGCGATTCATGGACGAATATGATCGGGCATGCCCCGCGTACACAAAAAGTCGTCCTATTCCTGCCGGACCGGTCGCGATCTGCCCACGTTGCACTTTGGACATCCCTCACGAATGTGGACGTAACAAAGGTGATACTCGTCACAAGTCATGCGACAGATGCGCCGGCGCAGGCCGCCAATAGCGTGTCTATATCACGCGTTCCCTCGCGACCATCTAACCAGGACGTGAACAACGTTCCTTGACGTCGGCTCGCATTCCAGCGCCTGATGAAGGCACACCAAGATCTCTGCAACGAATCGTCGGTATATGCGTTATTCGTCGCTTTGCTTCTCACTGTAAGTATCGCGTGAAGAGGTCCTTCATGACTTTCAGTGGCTCGGGCTCGACAGTACCTTTAAGACCATACAAGCACCACGGTTTCAAGTCCCCATCCATGACCTGCGGCGCATGCTCTCTTCGGATTGTCGCTTGGTGTTCCCAGTTCTGGTTATTTGAGATATCGTTTCGTGGACGTCTAGGGTCCACGCTACTCAGTTATGTATAACTGAGCAGGTCCGAAGTTACGCCGTTGGTCGAGAAGAAACTTTCTGCGTTTGCGCTTACGTTGAGGTATGCGCAACTTAAAGAGGGGGGGTGATGTAATGAAGAAACCTATTACATAAGTAGTTATAGGGATAATATATAATTACATAAGTAGGCATAGGACAGAATTTGATTAGCGGATACTGCGCGCCAGTTTATTATTGGTTAATTATAGGGAGGCCAGACCCAATAATAAGCCAATAATAAGTGTGGTCGCACGAAAATTCGAGTATTGCGTATTTCAGGACCAATACGGCCTTACAGGCCTTTTCGGTCGAAGGTATCACAAGAATGCAGCAGAACATTTTAGACCACTTCACGCCGTCCTGGATGCACTTACAAGAAAACGTTAATGCAAAGCAATAGGCTCGGGGTGTCTAGGATAAAAATGCTTGGATAATCAGTAATATATAAATACTCCGCACTTCTCAACCAAAGAGCTTCCGACTGAGCAGGTACCCCGACAGCAGCAAGGACAGACCCGCACCGCATACGATCATCCGGGCTATAATCCGGTAAGCCACGATATCGCCAGGTTGGAGGTCTCCATGCTCAATATTGCGTCGAGCCAGCACCGCCGCCATCTCGCGAGCTTGACGATGTGCAGAATCTCGTTCCTTCATTGATGCTTCAGCGTGGGCGTGGCGACGGCGAAGTGCCTCCCGCAGCGGCTCCTCGTGCCATTCAGGAAGCAATTCTGATGTCGGGTCCGACACTCCTTCGTTACCGTGGGTGACATCGTCAGTTTTTTCTTCATCCTCGTCATTGCCAAACGCGTGCGTGATATCCGCGTCCGCCGACTCAGGCACTACTAAGCTCGAAAAGATCTCTGCCTCTTCACGCCGACGCTGCAATTCCGCCAGTTATTTCTTTTCTTCGTCAGCTGTGATAACATCAAGCACACGCTGGATCTCGCTGAGCTATGACGGGTCGACTCCCAACTTCAGCAACACCTCCTTTTCAATGCGTGCCGAGCGGTAGCTTTTACTTTTCTCTGCGGGCGGCGATCTCAGCGCCTGATGTCGCGATCCTGGTAGCATGGAGGATGATGACGACATAGGTCCGTGTGCCGGTTCGTGAGGCGTAAACATCCCTATTGTAGGAGTTCCAGGTGCTGACGATGGCATGGATTCCGTGTCGAAACTCCGCCGCGTCTCAGCCATCGAAGAGGCCGGTGAGTACGAATCGTTATGATCCCTTTCATGGTCCGCCTCCGTCTCACGCGGTAGCTCCTGATCAACCTCCCGTTCTCGCCCGTCTTGTTCTTCCTCCTTCTTTTCCTTCACTTCCTCCTCCTCTTTAGCACTACTCGAATGTTGCCGTTTCGCCTCACTTTCGAGCGTGTGCAAGATGTTCGTGGCTAGTTCCGCCAAGAAAATGGAGGCTTCAGGTGACGCTGTCACCTCAGTAACACTAGTAAGACACTGGCCAGTACTCGAAATAATGCGTCGTCCATCGTAGCTTGCAAAGAAGTCCACCACGGACTGCAGCGTCTGAAACAGCTGCTGCGTAGCTGCCTTGGTCTCGGGTGTGTTGAGTGCCTGCGCCACCTTAGCCATTGTAGCCACGGTATTTAACACCACCTCTCGACCGCTGCGGCTACTGGCAGCTCGCAGAAAGTCCTTCTGCAGTTGCTTGGAGCTGACTCCGAGCTGCTTGCCCCTCTCAGCACTAAGAACACCCAAGGCATTGGCCACTGCGGTGGACAGTAGCCGCATCAAATCACGTGCGTGCTGCGGCGTCAGTGTCTTTAGTCGGTCCCACAGCAAGAAGCTCAGCACGGCCGGGTTGGCCACAGATCCGGCCAATCGCGTCGCAACAGGATTCACTATCGACGCATCCATCCACCTGAAAACTCCAGCAATAGAGAATGTTTAGCTGCATACAGAGAGAAGAATTAAAGTCATTGAGATGAATAGTGATAATGTACCGAATCGCGTCCAGGATCATCTGAGCCTTTTTATGCAATGCAATTAGTGACGAGCTCAAAAGTGGCGTCGTTTCGGCATTCGGGCTGCCCCGTCTGTAACGTGCAGAACAAAACCTGTTCTTTCGCATCGACATTCGCGCTTTGAGTTTTTCTCAGTGAGAAAAAACGGCCATTTCCATTGTAAATACTGTAGCCAAGTCAATATCTTCATACAAATGATATCGCACGGGGTGAATGGCGCGACGAGTGGGACGTTGAATGAGCGCTTCATCAAGTGCGCAGGCTGCCACGTGAATGTACCCAAGGACGATATGTTGGCACTGGGTAAGTGTACAGTGTGCAATTATTCGTACAGTGCCGTGGTGACGGAGGACGGCAGAGGAATCGAGGTAGCGACTGTGGCTTTTGACGCCAATGGAGCAGCGGAAGAGAAGAAACTGCAGCGGAAGCGATGGGCGGTGCTCACCTCCAAGCTTGGACGTGTCTTTTATCACAATACAGAGACGGGAGAAGATCGATGGGATAAACCCGTAGACTTGGAGGCTGATGCAGCCGAAGATGCTTTCGGTGTGTACAATAAAAAGCTATACGTTGGGTGTGTGTATTGATGAGTAACTAGTAGATCTCTTATTGTTATGCTGTAGTGCCTTTTAAGAACGACGCAGTGAAGAAGGCGGTATTGCGTGAACAAATGAAGTTGGAGGCTACGAAGATGGGCGTGCCGGTGGAAGTGGTGGCTGCTACGCAACATCGATTACAGCATGAGGACGAGGCCGATGACCCCTTTGCCAACATGATGGTACGTGAGGATAAAACCGGGAAGAAGAGCACTTCTATTCGAGCTGATAGTCCCAAGCAGAAAGCTATAGTACCATTACTTGTTGAAGAGGACAAAGAGGAACTGGTCATGCAAGAGAAAGGACAAGTCGGTAACTCATGCGCTGTAATGTAATTTTGTCTTGTACTTCAATCAGATGGTGGACAAATTAAGTTGTCCACACCAGTGTCCAATACTATAATCAATTGATTTTACCCAATCAGAATCACTCATAGCAATCACTCGATTGCGGTGGCGTTACTCCATCTTCCTCTTCAGTGTCTACGTCGTCTTGTCGCTTAGCTCCATCTCTCTCTATCTACGACGTGTACTACGTCACTATTATAATCTCTTGTTCATTGGCAATTAATTGTCATCATTTTGACACTTTTGCCAGGCTCATCTGACGTCTACAGCCTAATAAATCAACATTTCAATGAGCAGCAATGGCTCGTTGCATCCGCCTAAGATAATTACGGCATTATCACGACCTCCAGCCACTATTGGAGCTCATGGTGGATCTACATTGACTTCTTTGTCTTCATCTCCAGCACCTTCATCTGTCGGTGCGTCCTTCTCGCCATACGCCAAGAGTCCTGCGCGTAACGCCAGACGCGTCGCTATGGAAGGGAAGAGCTTGTTCACGTGCCACCAATGTGGTGCATTGCTCAAATTCCAACATAGTCCAGTGTCTATTGAGGAGAAGATCATGAAGCTTCGACCGGTGGCCTACGAGCACCCGTCGGAGGTGTCCGAGCAACGAGACAGCAAGGTAGAAGACGAGGAAGACCAGATGCCAAGACTTACAGAAAGAACGGACGCTGGAGAGGCTATAGATGCAGATGAAGAGGAAGAAGTATCACATATAGCAGCCAGGTCCTCACTAAGTCAACAGCAACAGCAGCAAAAGACGCCGGCTATTGTCCCTGAGATTGTGTGGGAACGACAACGTCTGGACTACAGCAGTGATGTTGGTGTTTGGGTGCCTGCTGAATTCGACCTCGTAAATAGGATTGCAGCTTACACGAGCTGCAATCGTGGAGATATTGGACAAAACATTGCAGATGTGGTGCCGGCGCGACTACTGAACAAGCCGCACTTGTGGATATCGGACTGGGAGGTGGATTACTCCCTCCCGCACTGCGATGAAGAAGGGTGGGTATATGCATCCTCGCACGTAGATTTTGGCAAGCTGGAGGAGCCTCATGTGCATCGAGAGGAGGCAGTGAAAGGTGGCGAGCTCAGTAGAACTGCCAAAAAGACTGAAAAGTCTGATGCAATGTCGCAAGAGCGTGTTGTTCGTCGAAGATGTCTGATACGAAAGCGCCGCATTGATGGCAGTGATCTCAGCTGGTTCCAGGAACTACTGGACTGCAGGTACGGCGAATACAATTATATTTCTCCCTAAGAATACATCATAATGTGGCATGGTTGTTGTCTACAGCACGGTTCTACTGAAAAAGAGGTTGCCTACTTGTCATGACTGTGAAACGAAGGTGCTGTCCCGATTTACTCAGTAAGTGAGCACCTGCTTTTTGTGCCACCTTTGAGAAGAGCTTATCATTATACATTTTTCTGCTGATGACTACTGCAGAGTATTGAACGAACTGGAGGAGGATCGAGCTCAATACGAGGATTTTATGGCTCAATTTGCAGACGAAGAGCGGGCATCAGCACGAACATTGAGCGACGACGGAGATTACAATGCCGATGAGTGGCACCTTGACCCAGAGCTTTGCGCTTTGGAGGAGGAAGAGCGACAACTAAAGGCTGAGTTAGAGGCCATCGAGGATGAAACTGTACAAGTGACAGCTAAAAGGCGTGAGCTTTGGTCAACTGGAATAGATCTCGAGCGTTTGGTTCATGGCACGTTTGCTGAAGGAGCGTTCTTGCAGCATTTATTGGGTCTGAGTCGCGACGAGCGCCAATCGGTGGGTGTATTTGCAGTGCATGCATCAGATATGCTGCGCCGTCTCCAGCGCTACAACGTGTGCAACGATGTCTTCCACATCTGGCACGACGGTCTATTCGGTACCATTAATGGACTGAGACTTGGCAGGTTACCGTCTAAACCGGTGGAGTGGGTCGAAATTAACGCGGCAATGGGCCAGGCAGTGTTGTTGCTGGCAACTATCGCTGACCGTGCCGGTTTTGAATTTTCACGTAACCGTCTCGTGCCTCGGGGGAGCTTCTCCCGTGTAGTCAATATGTACGGAAAAGAGTACAGTCTGTACAGCGACGGTGGCATGTTCCGACGTCGAGGCTTCAATCAAGCTATGATTCTATTTCTCGAGTGCGTGGAGGACGCAGGTCGTCGTGCCATGAAAGAAGAGCCATTGCTCAAGTTTCCGTACAAGGTGGAGCGCGGCAAAATCGGTGGTCTGCCTATTTCTCTTGGTAACGATGAGCAGTGGACTCGAGCGCTCAAGTACATGCTCACGCATCTTAAATGGCTCTTGGCTTGGATTTCGAAGCGCTATTGAAGAGATGAATAAAGAATGAGCAAGTCGGCAGAATATCTGCCAGGCAGCATTTGCTAGCGCCATGACAGCGGACCAGCAAGTATAACGTGTGTATTTTGCGTCTTCTGCTTGGGTTTTTGTAAGTTCTTCACATGTCAGTAACGAAGGCAACAGCCACGATGTACTAAACATGGGACGTTATACGAAGACGTTATAGTTCTGTGCCTGTGGACACTTTGGCTAAGCTACAGCAGTTGCTGGATGGCCTTGTGAATCGCGTTAGCAGCGTGTAGTACCTCTTCCTGCGTGGTAGAGCGACCCACAGACAAGCGCAGTGTGCCTTTGGCAAACTCAGGAGCCACGTGCATGGCAGCTAGCACGTGCGAAATGGTAGTAATGTGTTTCCCGTCGCGGTCTAGGTTCTTTTCCTGTTCGGTAGTCCTGTCTTGCTTGTGGCTATGACACGCTGATCCTGCACTTGCATAGACGCCGTCGGCCTCTATCACTGTTCATTACACAGGCAACACCAAGATCAGCATCCTATAACCACCAGAGTCAAGTATACAAGACTCACAGTCGAGGAGACGCGATGCGTCAATGTTTTCAAAGCTAATGCTGAGCGTGTTAGGCAGAGAAAGTTCTGGGTGGCCGTTTACCTGGTAGCTAACATTCGTAAGACTGCAGTGCTTCTGGCTCTGCTTGAGGAGGAACGCCCTGCTCTCTTGCATGATGACAGCGTACTCGTGCAAGTTCTTCTCTACAAGCGCACAAGCCTGGCCCAGTGCCGCCACTAGTCCCACATTCTCTGTACCACCACGACGTCCGTTCTCCTGCGACGCTCCGTGAATTATCGTGTCCAGTACCATGCTTTTACGGACGTAGAGAGCGCCGACACCCTTTGGCGCATAGAATTTGTGGCCCGCCATTGTCACCAAATCCACGTCAAGCTCCACGACATTCACACGCACTTTACCAATCGCTTGACTGGCGTCTGTATGCACGACAATAGGTAGCCGATTCTCCTCGTCCACGACGAATTGTCGCACTGCTCGAGAAATTGCTGCAAAATGGACACCACACACGTCTGTACGGTAAGTGCATCCAGTACATCTTGTACCCGGACACAGCCAAAGTTATTTACAGGCAGGTATGTGACTTGGAATCCCTGTGTCTCCAACCATTTACACGTCTCCAGCACCGCCACATGCTCGACGCTAGACGTGACAATGTGGTTACGTCCACTCGTACGTTTTGCTGCAAGTGCTGACCCTTTGATTGCATAATTAATTGACTCGGTACCACCTGAAAGAAAGACAATTTCATTCGAGTCAGAGGCGCCCAACATTGATGCCACTTGGGTACGTGCCATCTCCACCGCTTTCTTAGCGTTTTGTCCAAGTGCATAAGTTGAAGACGCATTGCCAAATTGTGGACCAAAATATGGCAGTAATGCCTGCATTACGGCGGGCTCCACAGGCGTCGTAGCATTATCATCGAGACTCACGCGTGTCATTTAGTCTTCTGACGTTTAAAGTTTAATGTTGAGCTGCTGGTGATCAGTTGCAGATACGACTTCCATATTTACACACAGAACAAGCAAGGAAAGTATATGAAAAGTGTAATTTCTTCTTACCAACAAAGAAAAAGCAGCTACCACCACTATCTGTCCCCCTACGTCATGGTCGCGATAATAGCAGGCCTCCAATACTCAATATGGAGTGTAGCATATTCCCTCCACCAGCTCTTCTTCGTCATCCACATATTTACTTGGGATCATTTGCCATCTTTTCTTGAAGGTCCATCAGAAACGAATCAAAATTTTCTTTTTCCTTGATAGGCTTCTCCTTCTCCAGCGATTTCAGGAAATAACCGTCCTTGTGCACCATTTTCATCACAGCTACGGCTGCTTTATGACCAGCCCTCAACTCAAGTTTTTTAAAAACTTCACCCAAGCCAGTAAAACCATCTTCGTCCTGTGCTCTCATGTACACGTAGTCAACCCAAAGCCTTCCAAGCGGATCCGTAGTCAGATCAGTTGGATTTAATGTTCCCTCCCCTTGAAGCTTAAAAAGTTTGAAGGATGATTTTCGATAATAAGGATGTTCTATCAAGTACTGGATCTGAAAGTATAACAGATCTTGAGCGAATTCATAGTTGCCATCGGCTTCGCCAATTTTAGCTAAAGCCCTCATCAGATCAGGATTGATAATCTTGCGTTTTGGTTCTTTAAGAAACTCGAAAGCCTTTTCCACCGATTCCTTTCTAGTATTGAATGCAGCCCACATGCTAAATTCTGGACGGCCAGGTACTTCTCCGATCTTGTCATATTTATTGAGATGTAAAAGATTGTAAACGTTTTTCGGCGTGTAATAATCATATTGAAGCCACTGCTCAATCTGATGGTTGTAAAGACTGTTAACCGTGTCTTCGAATTGGGTTGAACTTTTTGCTTGAGCTAAGAATTTGGCCAGAATACCTTCATCTCCCAACGCTTTAACCATAATATTGAACATCTCTCTGGGCACATCTCGCTCGGGCTTGGTTTTCTCGACGATATACTTCCACACGGAAAACTTTGGGTTTTCAAATGGGTTCTCTCCATTGTCGAGCTGCAGAGATGTGAAGGCCTCCTTAGGTTCTTTTTGTTTGTTAACCCACAGCCACAATTTCTCTCGAACTATTGTGGAGAAGATCGTTGAAATATTTCGACGCAGTCTAGCAGGGAAGGCTACCGCCTGTTTTCCAAGAGAGTTTCCAAATTCCTTAAGACCCGAGAGATCAGAAACTAGTCTTCTCAACTCACCAGTGCTGGTTGTCGTCACATCCGCGGCCGACCTCAAGTACCTCTTCTGTTTCGAGACATGAGGTGTCAGATCCATATCCAATGTACCCGATGCCTGAAAGGTGCGTAGGGCATTCTCTGGTGACAGATCTGCCGTCGCCAACCACATGGTCGAACGAGCGACGAGCACGATAACAAACAGCGCCTTGACAAGCGGGGCTTTGTTGGGCTTGAACGGCATTTTCGAATTAAGCGACGTGGAGGTTTGGAAGCAAAACGAAGTGTGGAGAAACTTGTAAGACCGTATCTGAGGAATTATATTGATTAATTAATAGTGGCTGAAATGTATTTTCTATCACTATCACCATCTTCTAATAATCCCCATCTTTTCTTTAGACAGGCATACGAATATCGTAAGTGCATTTTTCTCGTGTCTCAACATGTTCTGAAGAGATGCCCTTCTTTTCGGGAAACTCTATCCCACACCCATGGAGGATCTAAGCCGCACCCGTTACTCATTCCACCCTATTTTAGTTATATAAAGCGGCATTGCACGAAGTAAATGAACGTATATAGTCCATTTTCCGACATTTGAGTGAACAATTCCTTACTTTATAAATCATGGCAAGTTACTGCGGAGGCTCCTTTAACTTTGGCTTGACAGAGCTCAAGGAGCCTTGTTGCTGACGGATGGGTGAGTTGTGCACTGGGACAGCTCATCCATCCGTCAGCAACAGGGAAATACAAATAGGTGCACTTGCTGTTATGGTAGGAAGACACTAGGTAAATGAAAGTAAGTACCGGGTAGTATTTCATCCAACCTTATTGACAGTAGTTAAGCAGCATCCCGTATCCACTCAAAGCTACAGAAGTTACCTCCAATCGAGCCCACGCAACCATGTTTATTCTACGATCGATAGTCGGCGTTGATAGTCACAAACTCCTGGGAAAGGTCAACACTCAGTAACTAAATTTTCTCGGGTTTAACGCCTAAATCCATCTCAATCTGACGTTGCAACGAACACGAAGCCATCTTCAATTAGATGCTATACTAACAATTCATCAAAAAAATTACATACCTTGACAACTCGCATACGCAGGGTGGAATCGATGCTAGCCCGCGCGGATACTTGTGCGGGCTAGCATCGATTCCACCCCGCGTATGCTCGATCACCATCGCTTCACCCATGTGAGCCACAAGTTTGGCTTTATTATCATCTTTGTGATGCAAGCCCATTACCTCGCCTACAGTGTAGAGAGAAGCTGTCACGTGCTACTAGCACGCACCTTCGAGTAGCATGAGGAAGCAGACCGTGTTACCTCCGCGTGCCGTGGTGGTGGTGGTGTTGTTCGTCGCTGAAGCGATGTATTAACCTTTGCCGGTCGCCTTAAACGAACCGCGCAGCGAACTTTAAATGAAACATTTAACTGCGTCACGGAAGCTGTTTACCAGTCTTCCTGCGCGCAGTAAGCATGGTAAAGCAAATTCAAGACTGATTTATATTTGATAGATTTAACTAAATATAAATCTAAGTACGGATTGGCTAATATGTAATGATGGGTGCCATCTCTATCGATGCGCATCGTAACGTGCGAGTTTAATTATATTTAAGCTCGCTTAATGACGCAAGTGAATAACGTCATTTGATGACGCCTAGTCCCAGCTGGGCGTCATTGTTGTCAATATGACTCCTCGACCAGCTGCGATACTACCGTCATTTCAGTGATTGGATGCAGTTGAAGCTCGGTGATTGGATGCAGTTGAAGTTTGGATCAAGTAGAGTGTATCCAGAGGGTAAACATTAGGCTTAGAGTATTGTAAGCGAACTAAGGACCAAATGAATCACTTTGCGTTTTGCATTAAAACAATCAAGCACTTCCAACCTCTCCAATAACCTTTAGGTTATGAGCCCAAGCCCCGCCACCTCAACCTCTGCGTCCGACTACGCGTTCGCTATGAAGCACTCATCGCTGAGCCGCATCAACAAGTTTGATGGGACCAACTTCCACGCCTGGAAGTTCAAGATGCAGATGGTGCTCGAGGAGCGTGACCTGTGGGAGGTCGTCTCTGGGGAAGTGAAGATTGGTGACTTGGCGAACACGATGGATCAAGCGTCGTTCAAGAGGAAGTCTCACAAGGCCATGGCAGCTATCTGCTTGGCTTTGGAAGATTCGCAACTGCCGCTCGTCCGCTCTGCAAGTGATGCGCATAATGCATGGTCAAGACTTGAAGACCACTTCGAGAAGAAGAGCTTGGCGAATAAGCTCTTTCTTCGTCGTCGTCTCTTCACAGTCACGATGGAAGAAGGAGACGATGTGATGGAACACATCAATAAGGTAAAGACTCTGGCAGAGCAGCTTGAAGCAGTCGGCGCTCCGGTCAGTGCTGACGACCTGGTAATCACGCTGCTTGGAAGTCTCAGCGAATCGTACCAGTTCCTCATCACTGCGTTGGAATCGAGAGCTGATACGCTGACGTGGGAGCTAGTGTCGTCTAGGCTTCTTCATGAGGACATGAAACGCAAGGAACAAGGTGGTAGCGTCGACGGAGCCACCCATGGCCAAGCGTTTATGACAAAGGACAACAAGCGCAACAAAGAGCGACCGGTGAAGAAGACTGGGGCGTGCCATAATTGCGGCAAAATGGGTCATTGGATCGCGGAGTGTCCTTCGCGAGGCCAAGAAAACACGGAACGATACCGATCGCATCGCGCCAACGTCGCTCAGAACGACAATGACTGCGACTATCTGTTTTCGGTTGGCTGGAGTAAGAGCGCCGACAACGCGGATGAAGTATGGCTGGTCGACTCAGGAGCAACGCAGCACATGACGTGCTCCAAGAAGTTCATGACAAACTACAAGCTCTTCTCTCCAATTGGCGTACACCTTGCAGACGATGGTGTCGTGCAAAAAATTGGATGTGGTGACATAATGATGTCTATGAAGACCCCGAAGGGTATCAAGAAGGGTGTACTGACGAAGGTGTGGCACATTCCCAAGCTATTCCGCAACCTTTTCTCGGTCGGTCGATTTACTAAGGACGTCGGTCCTGTAACAGTCGACACGGATGGCTGTTTTGCCGAAGCGAATAGCATGAAGTGGAATATCGGAGCTCGTGAGGGTAAAGGTCTCTTCAAGCTTCAAATGACGCCACTTCTGGGAGATGAAGCCAATGCAGCCAAGTCGTCGGGATGTTATGGGGACACCAAGTCGTACCTCTGGCACCTTCGACTTGGTCATGTGGGCCACGATGGACTTAATAACATCGTGAAGAAGAAACTTGGTGTTGGAATCAACATAACGTCTGTCGAAAACTGGGATGTTTGTGATGGATGTGCGCTTGGTAAGCAAACACGCGTGCGTTTTCAATCGACAGCACCGAAACGCTCAACCAAGATTCTGGATGTCATTCACAGCGACGTCTGTGGACCTATGTCAAGATTAACTTTCAGTGGCAAACGATACTTCGTCACGTTCATTGACGACAAGTCAAGATACTGAGTGGTGTATCTTATGAAGAAGAAGTCCGAATTGACCACCAAGTTTGCTGAGTTTGTTGCTCTTGCCGAGACTCAAACTGGTAATCGCGTCAAGACGCTAATTTGTGACAACGGCGGCGAGTACACGGCTGGAGACATGGCGAAGTTTTGTACCAAGAACGGTATTGTTCGAAAGTACACGCCGTCGTACACACCACAGCTGAATGGGGTCGCGGAGAGAATGAACCGGACGCTCGTGGAATGTGCTCGTTGCATGCTGGAGCACGCTGGATTACCCAAGAAATATTGGGGCGAAGCTGTGACGACGTCAATGTTTCTGCGAAACCGATGCCCAACAAGAGCCATAAGTGAAGACAAGTCACCTTATGAGGTTTGGACGAAGAAGAAACCTGTACTGACAAACCTCAAGGTATTTGGATGTCATGCGTACGTCCATATTCCGCACGAGAAACGCTCGAAATTGGATGCCAAGGCTTCACTATGCCGTTTTTTGGGCTACGCGGAGCATCTCAAGTCCTACCGCTTTGAGGACATATCAAGTGGGCGCGTCACCGTAAGTCGTGATGCGCAGTTTATGGAAGACGTCTTCGACGGTGGTAGATCTGTCCAAGAACAAGCGGTCACTGATCTCAACGAGGAAGTGAGTACGGACCATGAAGATACGGATGACGCTATGAATGAAGATGAAGACGTTGAGGACGTCCAAACGACAGACTTCGCGCCTGGCGACAAAAGACATCCAAGAACACAATCTCTCGATCAAGCAACGGAAATTCCGAGTTCGAAGCGACAAAACCGTAGTCTCAAGAACATGTCGGCCATTGCTGAAGGAGATTTTGAGGCAGCATTCGTTGTGGATTCAGTGGGAGAAATGCCGACCACGCACAGGTCGGCGATGGAATCCATCAACTCTGCGAAATGGGAAGAAGCGTGCGACTCCGAAATCAACTCGCTGCTCAAGAAAAAGACATGGGATCTTGTCCAGCTTCCCAAAGGTCGCAAAGAAATTGGCTGCAGATGGGTATTTCGTGTCAAAGAAAACAAGGATGGACAAATTGAGCGGTTCAAGGCACGCCTGGTTGCAAAAGGATTCTCGCAAAAGTTCGGTATTGACTATGAAGAAACATTCGCGCCTGTGGCAAAGTTCACGTCAATCCGAATCGTGCTAAGTCTTGCGGCGAAGTATGATCTTACCGTGCACCAGATGGACGTCAGGACTGCTTTTCTCAATGGTGAGCTGGACGAAGACATTTACATGATTCAGCCTGAAGGTTACGTCAAGGACAGCAATCCCAAACTCGTGTGCAAGCTCAATCGATCGCTGTACGGACTGAAGCAATCGCCGCGCATGTGGAACAAGACCAGTGACGAGTTCATGCTGAAGCTTGGTTTGAAGAAATGTGAATCGGACCACTGCATCTACACGAAACGCGACGGTGAAGCCATAATCTTCGTCGCACTCTATGTGGACGACTTGGTACTTGCAAGCAGCAGTGACAAGATGCTCAATACAGTAAAGGACGCCTTGGGTGATCGATTTGAGATGACCAACTTGGGTAAGCTCAACTTCTTTCTTGGCATGGAAATCGATCAAGAACGTGGAAAGGTATCGATGCGTCAGACCAAGTTCGCCAAGGACGTTTTGACCAAGTTTGGCATGGACAACAGCAATCCAGTCAAGACACCACAAGATCCAGGACTCAAATTGGCGAAGTCCATGTGCGAGTATGGGTGCAATCAC